AAGCATGTAATCAATAAATCCCAGCTAACATTGTGGAATGCTTTTTGCATATTGAGCTTACATAGAATTCCCCTATTCTTGTTGCAAGACAGATCATCAACTACTTCGTTTGCGATCATAATTGCGTCAGTAATTTGCCTCCCTTCAATAAAAGTATTCTGACATTCACTGATAATGGACTTAAGTGATTTGGAAAATCTTCTGGCCAGTACCTTTGCTAGGAGCTTGTAAATAGATCCGATCAAGTTGATCAGCCTGAAATTAGTGATGTACTTGGGCCCCCACTTTCTTGGGAATTAGCACAATAAAGGTAGAGTTGATTGATTTCACAAAAGAATCATGTCTGTGGAAGTCATTGAAGAAATTAAGAACATTTGTTTTTACCTCATGCCAAAAGCTTTGGAAGAAACTCATGTTGAAGCCATCGGGGCCAGGTGCTTTGTCACCATCACATTCTTTTAAATAGACATAAATTTCATCTTTGGTGAATTCAAATTCTAGGAATATTCGCTTAAAATTCCCAATTTTGTTAAAACATATGTATCTTACGTTGGTCTGTTGTAAACATCTTTTGCGTAGAGAATTTAGAAGTGTTTTTTGACAGTTTCCTGCAAAGCCTCATTCCCAGTTATGAAGTCACCATTAACCAGAAGATTTTCCACATAGTTGGCCCTTCTGTGATGGCTGGCCAAGCAATGGAAAAATTTTGAGTTTTTATCACCCTCCTGTATCCATTTTTCTCTTGCTTTCTGTTTCCAGGAGATAGCTTCCAAGTGTATTTTGTTAGTCAGTTCCACTTTTAGCAAATTTCTGTTATCTTTGTCATCTGCATTCAACGGAAACTCTGCCTCAATATGGTCTAGGTCAGCCAACTCATCCATTAGATCAGTAATCCACATCTCCTCCTTGAGCCCCACCTCTTTGGTCCACTTTTTAATTTCAGATTTCAGGCGGTGAAGTTTAAGAGTCAAAACAGTAGCTCATAGTCCCCTGAATGACAGTTTCCCTCCAAACATTGGAAATCATGGTTCTGAAGCTTTCCACTTTAAGCCATTTATTGTCGATGCGAAATGGGACGAGACCCCACCTAATACCATCAGACGATAAACAGATGGGAAAATGATCAGGAAGAGGGCGAGGAAGTACCTTTTGCTGAATACCCGAGAGGAAATGGAGCAGATCAGAAGAGACAAAAAATCTATTAATGCGGGAAAAAGAGGGTGTGTCCCTTTGGTTGCTCCAAATCCATTGACCACCATTTAGAGGCAAGTCCTCTAGGTCGAGGTTATCAATGCTATTTTGGAATTCTTGAGCACAGAGAGCAGAGAACTGACTTCCCAATTTATCACAGTGCCGAAGGACCATGTTAAAGTCATCACCAACCACCTTATTCAGACCGCACTTGTTGCGGCATTGAGAGAGTTCAGACCATAAAGTATGTCTTTTGGTAGTGCCACTACAATATACACCAGTGAAGAACCAAGGTTCGCTATTGGCGTGATTAATAAAAAGGCATGACAGTGTGCAGGACCCCAAAAGGTGATCAGTATAGAGCAAGAAATCCTTCTTCTATGAAATCAGAATGCCCCCCCCGCAGTGTTGTTTGCCGGCAGGGATAACCAGCCAATCTCTTTGTAGTTCCATAAGCTTTTCACAAGATAGTTGTTAACCAAATCCATTTTTGATTCTTGGAAACAGACCAAGTCCCGCTTCCAGCAGCTTAGGCAGCCCCTGATGATGTTTCTTTTTTTTCGAATTGTTTAAACCTCTAACATTTCACGAGAATATTTTTCCAATCATTGATCAATAACGAAAGATTCCCCACCATCCCTACCTTGCCTCTATTTTCCATCATAGTTAATGTCGAATTGTAGCCTCTTTATTCCCTAGATCCATTGGCGGCCATCTTCTTCGGGTTTTTCTGTTGATTTTGTCCTTTTCTTCTTTTCAAGCATTCTTTTTTCTAATTCCGCGAACAAGCCATTGTTTGGAGCTCACAGCCCTCAAAATGATGTCTAATAGTTTACTCACTATAAGAATGTTTCTCCAAACCCAAGTGGAGTAGGAAAACTCCGCATCCATGTCTTCGACTAGAGTAATTTCAGAAGAAGTGCTTGCATCCAAGGTAGCGCAAGGAGTTATCCTTTCTGGAACCAGGGCTAGCTCAAGCCCAAATAGATTATATGAGTTTAAGGGAAGAGTGGTGTGCACACCTGAGACTTGGAGCTCTTCAACAGACTCGGCCTCTGAAGCAAGCTCAGAGCAGAAAGCATGCTCAGGAGGGGCTCGGGGAGTAGAGGCACCGTCAATCAGGGCTTCGGGGTGTGAAGTGATGTGAGGAGCATCTGAGGTTCAAAAGTCATTAACTTTTGGTGGTTTTGGGTCAGCGATTTTAGGTCGGATTGGGGAAGGTATGGCCTTCCGTTTAGGTCTCCATTGCCATAAGCTCTTATAATGTTTGGGCTTTAGGCGAGAGTAGATTTTCGAGGCCTCTTGCTGGATTCGATGTGTTCAACCCATTTTCTTTTTTCCTCCTAGGAGTATTTGGGCTTCTGAGCTATAATATTGTGAGGTTTGTTCGGGCCCGGTTTGGGAGCTTCGGTCTGAGCCCCTTTTTTTAACTTTTGCATGTGTGAGGGCAGTCCTCAAAGACCATCAGAGATTTGAATTTCAAAAGCCAAAATTTTTGGGGATCAGAGCTGGGTCGAGTGTTATTGTTTTCGGCCATGTAGGGTTAGCATTGGAGTAAGTCAAAATTTCAGCATAAGACTTCTTTGACATTGTTGTGATGACAATGCGAACACTGTACTGACATTTTGGACAAAAAAAAATGCGAACATTGTACTGACATTTCGGGCAAAATAAAGAGAAGTGAGTAGGTTCAGTTTGGGCCTGG